TCAGGGGTCTGTTTAGAAGAAATTTGGGTCCGTTAACGGACCCTTCACAAAATATCTTTTCATAAAAACGGACCCTTCACAAAATATTTTAACTTGAAAACGGACCCATCACAAAATGATTTTTCTTTTAATCGAACCCTTCACAGATTTGTTTATCTTCATTATTGTTTTATTAATTGAATAAACCCTTCCCAGGGCAGAAAACAAAAAAGATGGGTGTAAACTAATTAAGTTTTGTCTTCAGCAGACGATTCTTCCATTATTCACCGAAATGAAAATTCTGCTTTCAGCAGTATAGGCTAAATACCAAATATTTGTATGTTGCATCTCTAATTTAGAAGCAGCAATTGCTGTTTATTTTTGAAAATGTAATTTTTTTTATTGTAATTTTACAGTGCTGAGCATAATCTTGTATCTATTTACAATTTTTAAAAACTCCTTGAAAAAGTTTTTTGCGCAAATTCATAAAAGCATGACACCCTCTTTGAAAGAATGTGAGTAATTTTTTCACAATTTCACGAAAATCGGACCTTTCACAAAATGTACAGACCCCTGGTAGTTCATGTGTTCCTTGTTTCTCCTAAAATAAAAATGTAAAACTTATGCTTCATATTATTAGAGCAACCAGTGAAAGTATCAATAAGTGTATCTTGTATCAAATTGCATCATGTCTTAAGTGTATCAATTTGCGGGAAAAGTTAAATGTTTTGTTTCATATGCTTTAGGCTGAAACTTAAAATTACAAATACAATTTGTTTAGCAAGTTTTATAATAATAGCCTAAATTTAAATAAGTTTATTGTACCAAAAGAGAAGTCTTATTAATATTATATTTATTATATTACATTTCATAAGTAGTGAAAAATATTGTGGAAAAGCAGGACCCTCCTAAGGACGTAATTTCCTTTTATAGTATTCTTACTTTGTGATTCCAACTTTTAATTGCTTTTCATTTCTGTTTTAAAGATACAATTTTTATTTTAAAAAACCTTATATTATTTTCAGGTTTAGTTCCAAATGCAAGTTTTCCTGTGTAAGTTCTTTTTTTCTTTGTTCTTGTCTAAATGTTTATTTAAAAATAGATCTACAAAATCAATGCATAATCGCTAAATATTGTAATTTTTGCAAATTCGTAAAAATGTTTTTGAACTGTTGATATTTTACTGCAAAGCAGCAAAAATATTTGATTTCATTTTTTTTTTTTTTTTTTAAATTAGCCGATCACAGCTTAGCTCTTTTCAAAAAAAAAATGTTTGGGAATTAAAAGGAAACTTAGCTATCACAGAAATCAGTTAAAATGTTGCTTATTTTTGACTTCGCAAACAAAATTTAGGTGCAACAACATATGCTAAAATGTCCTCTTTTGCAGTTGTCAAAGTAAGTTCATTTTACCTAATTTGGGAGACCTTGCTTGGCATGGTAATAATAAGTTAGAAATGGCAACTATAATGTTTGTTTTCATCTTAGCAATTTTTTGGTAGGACTTTTAGTTATCAAACACAAAACTTTGTTTCAATTTAAATTATTGAGTTTCACTGCATCCCAGTGGCAGAATCACGGCGACATTTTAACAGAAAGTTACCAAACTCTTGCAGAAAGATTTTTCTTTTATGGGAAGTAAAAAATGCCGCTTTCGTAAATTTATAGTGTTGGGATTGTATTTTCAACAGTTATTGACAATGATTTTCAGGTGGTTTTTAAAATCCGATATTCTTAATATGTGTTTATTACAAAAACTGACTCTAAAAACATAACACGCATTTGAGTAACCCCTTTTTAAAGAGTCCGATTCGTGTGGTTTCGTTGTCTATCTTTTTTTCGGTAGTTACTGCAACGGATTTCTTGATTTCTAATTAGTTTTCTTTTTAATGATATGATTAAAAAAAATGCGAAAAAGAAAGTAATTAGCATGTTTTTCTCCTACTAAGGATATCGCCCATTGTATTAGAATTTAATAAAAATTTAAATACAATTTATTTTATCAAAATAGGATTTTTTGTTTGTAAACACTACACTTTAATTGTACTTTAAATTAGTAACCTATATATATTTGTTATTATTAAAAGTATCTTGCAGAAAGATATTAGTGCAAACGAGGTATGTCACAGAAAGCCCGAAAAAATTTTGCTACAGGGCACTGCATCAGGATATCTCGTGCGAAACTCTTCAGTGATTTAAGGATATGACTTAAGAGCAAAATGACACTCCAGCATCTTTTTGGCAAAAATGACGTATTGCCACCTTAACCAGTACTTCATAAATGAAAGTTTTGAGCTGGAGATCACTGATCACCAGTGTCATAGAAAATTGAAATTCATTAGGCTATTAGTCTTTGGCCCTTAAGGCCAAGGACTTCCATGTTTCCAGGTTCAAAAGCAGGTCCTTTTTTAAAATACAAATTCTAAACTGCTTTATCCATCTATTAATATTCATATTAATCTATTTATTAACAAAACAAGGAGTTGCAAATAAAAAAGAAGTTATATTATTATCAAGACTAACAACTAGGACTTATAAAATGTATGCGTCAGGAAAAAGCAATGATTTAATTTAATACTGATAATAATTTTCTCCTTCAGCTGTTAATAAAGAAACATTTTTTTTTTTTTTTTTTATGTATTTAAAGTTTGGTTGCTATGTTTTTCCCGTGCTGAAGGGTTACATGTCTCTGAAGACACATTGTTACTTATTTTTCATATTTCATCTAGGGATTTTTAAATATTTGATGTATTATAACACGTAAGCAAAATCGCTGTTCTGTTAAACTTAATATCCGCAGCTTAGAACTCACCTTGTAAGAATTAATACTTTTTTCTTTAATAACCTCTCTTCTAATCAGATGTTATATTAATTAAATGTATTGGTCTTGCATGTGTGTCTTTGATTTTTTTTTTTTTTTTTAAATATTACCTTCTTAAAAATTAAAGTATATTATATATTTTACTTTTTAGTTTCCTAAATCTTCACAGCAACCCTGGTGATTATGCATGGGGAAGAGGAGGCTGGAATGCAATTATTACTCAAGTAAGTTATGTTTTTCTTAACTGGTGGCAACAGTAGGGTGGCTACAGAACAGGGATAATTTTATCAGTCTGGGAATTAAACTATAATACCTAAATAATCAAGAAAATAATTATTTGTTTGGTCTTACAATAAAAAGGAGGTTTAAATTTTTTTTTAAAAAAAAATTCGTGTTTCTAATAGTACGTATAAAGGTTTTGTAATCCAATATATTTTGTGTCGAAGAGTAAGGCATAACTCCAGAATAATTTTAAAAAATTATGCCACAAGTACAAAAATCAATTTGGAAAGTCAAGGATTTTTTTTTCTTCCTGACTCTTTGATGCCACCTTGAATAGATTTTCATCTTACAATATGACCTGAACATAAACATGAAAAGATGGGTATATTTCTCTTTTTAACTATTGCTTTTCAAAATAGAATCGAAAATAAGCTGCTGATATGATATATTGTTTACAAAAAGAAATCTTAACCTGTATATGAGAAGAAAAAAAACCTTCATTGCAGTTGGCAGGTGCCAAAAAGTTTTCTCAAAATTGGGTGATACTTTTATTTAGCCAAAAAGTATATTATTCTTTAAGAAAATGGAATATTTAAATTAGTAGATTTAGTATTTATGTAAATAGGAGTGACTTTTCAAAATTTTGAACTCTTGTTTCTCCTATTTAATTAAAGCTTTTTGATTAAAAGTCAATCTCTTAGTGAAACAGAATAGAGTTCATTTTCTTGTAGTTGTGGACTTCTGCCTGAGCTCACAAATCCCCCATTATATTAAAAAAGAAGTTAACAATGTCACCATTATTTCAGAAAACTTTCACTGCTTTTTTTCACTCACATATTGCAAAATCTACTGGTAATTTTGTACATTCTTAGAGACATTTTTTATGTAACATTTTGTTATGAAAATGTTTTATGTTATGTGGTTTTTTATAATTTCAACTACGATCTAAGCCTTTTTGCTAACTTTCTATTATTCCACGATAATTTAAACATATTTCAAGTATATTCTTTCAATTTATTTTTTGTTTCACATCCTTTTCTCATACTTTTTTTCTGATTTCTTGTCAATGTATTATTACATGAGCCTCTAAATATTTAAATGATACCAAAGAATAAAATTCTTAGAATAATGACAGCAAAGAATTTTTAAGTGATATTCTAGTGAGAAAATTGTGTTATTACTATTTTCTGTTTCAATTTAACTTGGAAGCATTAGGAAAGGAAGCATAACTAAAAAATTTTCCCTTTTTAAGAATTATACTCCTCTTTGTTTCCTTAATATATTAGTTGTAAAAACTTTTTTGAATGCTTAGAAATGTTGTTTATTTGTTCACAGCTAATTAATCAACTTGATGGTACTGGTCCTCCTCCTTTGCCCAAAGAAAAAATAGATGAAATTCCTATTGTGGGTATAAGCCAAGAACAAGTTGGTATGTTGCTTTTAAGTATATGGCAATTACTATTTAACCTGGTATATAAAATGCATTTTATTTTAAATGTCTGTTCATATTATTCAATACTCACTAGCACTTTAGCATACCATACAAGTGTGTTTAATTATACTGTCAGGATAAATAATAAATATTTATTTCGAATGGTTAAATTGATATTTCAGGTTAATATATTCCAATGCCTTTTCTTATATAAATGCCTTCAGCATAGAATCTAACTCTGTTAGAAAATTAAAAATCCAGTAGATGTTTACCAAAATCTTTCTAGTTACTTTATATTGTTTTGTATTCGGTTAATCTTTATGTAGCATATTTTGTAATTTTTATGAGAGTTGTTTCACGTTTGCAAGAGTAAGAAACATGTGAACAATAAAGAATGGCCAATGCTTAAATCTCAACAATTCTAATTTTTTTTTTTTTTTTTGAATTTTTTAAATGTGCTATTTTAAATTCTTTGACTAAAGAGAATAAATTAACCTCAGTTTGACTGTCTCAAACTAAAATTAAAGCTGTAATTTTAGTCCGTAAATATTATCTTGTTGTACATTTACAGGTTATATGTATAGGTTATATTAAGCTTGTACGAAAAGTTTTTAATTTGGCCAGATTTTTACATTTAAATCAAAACCTTTTACACAATTCTCGTTATTTGTGTATTTCTATGAGCCTATTCATTATAGTAGTACAGTAAATAGCTTTTAAAATGTTTAAAAATTAGACTATCAAAACTTATATTTCATACCGTGCCGAGCATCAAATGAATAGTTAAACAATGAGTTTTTTATCGATGAATGTTAGTCCTGGCTTTTTTCCAAAATTTAGGTTATGTACAAGCCTTCCAGCATTTAGAGACTTGTTCCCCCATATTATTGAATGGAAAGGAAGTGAATAGCAGAGAAACTTTGCCATAAATTTCCTCATCAGATAAACGCTTTTAGGTTTAGAGAGAAACTTTTTCTTTATCATGACAATTTGCTCTATTTACATAATTAGCTTAGTGGATATTGGCTAGAGACTCATTTAGAGTAATAGTTAGGAATGCAGTATGGCAGTATGCCACTTTTGTTAAATATTTTTCAAACAGCAGCCTTAAGCAGTTTTTTTTTTAAGCCAGTGTCATTTTGTATTCTTGAGGCATTGCCATTTTTAGAATTCAAATTTAATATTAATTGCAATTTTTATAATTCAATATTAATTACAAAATGCCTGCTAAGAATAATTGCAATTTGAGATAAGACCAACTTGCTTTCTTGGACAACAAATTGATTTTTTCTACTATTCAATGAAGAAACATTGTTGCATTGCAAGTATTTTGTGAAAAAATATGCTCAAAAAGTTGATGAATTAATGGTGTTCAAGTATTTTTGTTTACATGTGAAATCTTAACATTTTTTTGGTTTCTTCCATCAAGTACAATTTATACTAGGGTCTACTTTTGTGTTCATAGTCATGTGTTAATTTTTTATCTACTGGTTTTGATGGTTATTTATTTATTTATTTTTGAATAAACCCTATTTTTTGCTAAAGTGTTTAAAGAAAATTTATCAAGTGTTTTGGCGTTGAGAAGATGCCTATAACTCATAAAAAATTAATCTGGTATGTGGTGAAAAAAATTTTAATCTGTTTTTTCTACCTTGACAATGCATGGATTATATTTTGTGATTAAATTTCCTGCAAACGTAAGTTTTATTTGTAGTTCATTATATCATATATTTAAAAAGTTGTTCCATTTTACATGATGCGCTCTCCTTTTATATATATATTTATTTACATTTTATTAGGTTTTAGCTGATTTTAAGTTCATATAATTGTCATATGTTAAAAATATATATATTATTTTTTTCTTGCATTGGAGTTTTTTATATATTTCTGTTCCATTTTACTTTTATGTGTTTTGTATTTAGATTCATGTTAGCAGGGTTGCAACAGGCGACTAAATTGTGACTATATGCAACTATTTTTGGCCTGATTCAACTATGGCAACTTTTTTGAGTAAAAAAGCAAATATTTTCAAGGAGACTTTTTTGTACTCCTAGCTAAGTTTTTTAGCATAAATTGGGTTGACAACCTGCGGCCACTTCTAAACACAATAAATTTTTTTGTCGTAAGAAATAAAAAATTTTGAAAATTTAGAATTGCGAATTTGAGTCATCACTTTTAATGCACTCAATTTGAGCAGATTCCATTGTTAAATCAATTTTGTTTCTCAATCGGATTTTCAACTGTTATTGCTATGAAATTCTGCATGATTTTGAAAAACCCAATTTTTAATACAATATTATGATACATGAATTTCGAATTTGCGTAATCACTTTTCATTATATGTCTATATCAGGGATGCTACGCCAGCGCCATTTGCGACAAACTGAGACAAAACGGCATAACTGCGCCATTTTGCGACATTCAGCTCAGTTTCTGCCAAAGCTGCGCCATTCTGAGACAAAACGTCCAAAATTTGGCAAGCCTGAATTCAGTTTCAAATATTAATCCGCATTGCCGTGAGTCATTGGAGATCATTTTGCCGTTCACGTCTCCAAGGGATGAAAGACTTCCACGAAAAAGCGGAAATCCGCTTTTTTTCTCCCAATTTTGAAAATTTCCGACCATGTTCCAAAAACTAAAATTTTTGGGAAGTCCTATTGGAGAAACCCAAGCCGCCCGAACGATAGTCGGATTACCGCGACTTCTGCTATAGAGTGGAAAGGAGTCTAAGCGTTTCGTTTCGACCACCGGTAATTGATTTTTTTTTCTTCGTTTGGCTGATTTTCGGAATTTTAAATATTAGGAACTGCGCTGGAATATGCTAAAATCGCGATTTTTAATCAGACGATTTTAATATCAATCATCGATTTTCGTATTTAACTTATTTAAAACTTATGTGTTGCGACTTTTTTTACGCTGTTTAAAAATCGTACTAGCAATTCCTATTCACTCAATTTAAAAATTCAATATCGCGATCTGTATTCTCGCGAGTTTAAAATCCAACGTCGCGATTCGTATTCACGCATTTTTAAATCCAATATTGCGATTCGTTATCACGCAGTTGTAATATCAGATCTCGTTTTTCGTATTTGTACGCTATTTAAAAATTACTCATTGCGATTCGTATTCACGTGATCTAAAAATTATTCATCGTGATTCTTATTTACGCAATTTAAAAATTCAATATCGCTATTTGTATTTTCGCGTTTTTAAAATCCAACAGCGCTATTCTTATTCACGTGATTTTAAAATTCAAAATCGTGATTCATATTCACGCGATTTTAAAATCCGAAATAGTGATTCATATTGACGCGATTTTAAAATCCAATATCGTGATTTGTGTTTTTTAAATCCAGCTGCGCGATTCATATTCACGTGATTTTATAATCCAAAATCGTGATTCATATTCACGCGATTTTAAAATCCAATATCGTGATTTGTATTTTCGTGTTTTTAAAATCCAACAGCGTGATTCATATTCACATGATTTTATAATCCAAAATCGCGATTCATATTCACGCGATTTTAAAATCCAACCGCACGATTCATATTCACGTGATTTTAAAATCCGATATCGTGATTCATATTCACTTGATTTTAAAATCAAAAATCGCGATTCATGTTCACTCGATTTTAAAATCCAATATCGTGATTCATATTCACGCGATTTTGAAATCCAATATCGCGATTCATATTCACGCGATTTTAAAATCCAAAATCGCGATTCATATTCACGCGATTTTAAAATCCAATATCGTGATTCATATTCACACGATTTTGTAATTCAATATCGCGATTCATATTCACGCGATTTTAAAACCCAAAATCGCAATTCATATTCACGCAATTTTAAAATCCAGTATCACGATTCTAGAAAGAAGTAGAATTAAGTTTTTTCTTGAATTAGTTACTGTAAAGATGTGATATATTTTTCTACAGTTGTTGCATTTAAACAATTACTAAGTGCATTCATAATCACATTTTATGATTGTATATTTAGCTATACAAATTAAAAGAACATAGTCAACTAACTAATCTTGTGAATGCAAGAAAGTACAATCTACTAGTCAATGCCAATAAACTAAAAAGTTTACTTTTATACTTAATAAAGGATGCAAGTCATTTTAGAAAGAAAATTATATTTATATGTGTCTTTTTAAATTGTTTATAATAGTTTTTAAATATTTCTGTTTTGATATAAAAATGTATATATGCTAATTTTTGGCTATTAAGTGCTCCCTAAAATTTTCTTGAAAAATTCCTACCTAAAATATTTCAAAATTTCACTGCACCTCCTGAATTCTATCAAAGAGTGTTTTTTTTTGTGTTATTTGCATTTTCTTAAACTCTCATTATTTAATTACTGAATTTCTCTTTCAATTATTTAAATCTGTAGACCTTCCATTGTAACTGAATAGTTATATATTTTGAGATGAAATTTGAGCTCAAAATAAAATGGGTATTTTCCCTTTTGAATTACTGAAACTAAATAGATATTTCTTTTTAGAAAGTTAACACCATTTTATTTTAAAAAATAGGAAAGTTAAAATTTACTTTGTAAAATTCTGGAACAGATACTATTCATTGGCATAAATGATAAATGCAATATATATGAAAACAACAGAGTCCATAAAACAATTTTGTGGACTCTTATAATCAATCATATGCAGGTTTTTTAAAATCCTAGCAATAGTGAATGTATGTATAATTGTAGTACTCCTAGTATGCTATTAATGGTTTTATGGATCTTTATAATGTTATCAAACTGATTAATAATCATTTTAGCTGAGATAAGCTGAGTGAAAAAAATAATTTTTGCTGAGACAAACTCAGCCAAAAAGAGATTTTAACTGAGACGAAATGCAATTTCTGGTGAGACAATTTGATATTTTGCGAGTAGCATCCCTGCTATATATATTTGCTAAATCAATTATTGATGTAAGGGGTAAAATTTTTGAAAAAGTATGTTTTTTTTTTAATGAAAAGGTATTTTTTTTAATGAATTCTAATAATTAAAAGTATTTATCATATTTGATACCAACTTGACTAAATGGATCATGGTATGTGAAAATTAAGTCATTTAAAAAATTTTAGTCATATTATTGAAAAATTTTTGTTCTTATTTAGGCAACTTTTCATAGTTTTAATGCTTTAGGCTACTGAAAGTAACTATTTTGTAAATTTTTTTTCTGTGGCAACCCTGTGTTAGCTACATTCCTTCACCATCAGTAGTTTTGGTATGTTCTAAGCTCCTCATTTTCTTTTTTTATGGTGTCTGCATTTTGTGAAACTTTCTGTACATGCAAAATGGTGTGTGGACATGTTAAGACATCAGATATCTAATTCTTCCCTAAAAAAAAAAAAAATTAGGTACTTTTCAATTTGCTAAACGCAAGAGAATTCAACTTTTTATTAGAATTTTTTTTAATATCATTTAATTTTTATGTCTTTAAATGGAAAAAAAAATCCGTGGAGGTTTACATTTCTTAGTGACTTTTCATTTGTCCCCAAAAAGCACCAAATTTTATGTGCTCTGTTATTGAATAAAAAAAAATTTAACTATCTCAATTTACTTGAATATCCCTTTTTTTTCTGACAGAGAGAAAAAAAGAAGATAAATTCTGCTTGGTTGCCATAAGAATTTTGAAAAATTCAATGTGGTTTAATATTTTGTATATCATATATACTTCCTATTAAAAAGTAATGCAGTTTCCATGATATCCCAAATTAATATTCATAGATATCCATACCTGCCAACTTTTACGCATTTGGCGTAAAATTTTATTTCTACATTTAAAGTGGTAGTAAAATGTATGCTTTCTATATATTCCTTGCATTTATAAACTTAATTTATAATATTTTTAATTCACCACTATTTTTAAAAAATTTAAGCATCTATATATATATTTCTCTTACACGGCACCAAAAAAAAGCCTCATTACAACACCCCGAATGGCAACGTTAGAAAATCGACCAATGATTGCTGCTAAAAATGTCACATGGCAAATGTCACATGAGGTGGCTCAACATATAGCGCTTTTAAAAACGGAAACAATAACCAGAGTGAGCATTATCAGGTTGTTCAATTCAGATTCATGCCCTAAAAACATGATAATATTTAATTTAAACTCAATTAGGAATTAATTAGGCTGGCCTTCTCCATGACTATAAATAAGTCACAAGGTCAGACTTTTGAGAAAATCAGTTTAGTATTGACTAAACAAGTTTTTAGTCATGGACAACTTTATGTTGGCCTGTCAAGAGTTAAGTCATTTGACAGCCTTTCAGTAATTGCTCCAAGATGCCAAATCTATAATTGTGTTTTCAAAGAAATTCTAAATGCTTAGTGTTAATTTCTTAGAGCTTTGCAGAAAAAAATGTTTTTTGGAAAAAATTTAATTGAAACTTCTATTGGCAGTAGGCAAGGGGAACTGCCAAAATCAAAACTCCCCGATTAGAAATGCAGCATGGCGACCTCCACGTGGTATTTCTCGGGTAATGCTAACAGCCATGCATTTTAATTTATTGTATGTAAAACATCCTTATTTTGTTCTAAAATGTTATGTACTTTATCACAAATGTTAATTAATATAAAAATTGATTTCAATAATGCTGATCACCAAAAAATATTTCATTTGGCGATAAAACAAATTTTTGTGTTCTTGAAAATGAAAGACTTTTTGAGGGTTATTATCTCACAAGGAAAAGTTAGGGTTTAAAGTTTATATTTTTAAATAATAAAATTTTTTTCTAAAACTTTCAGAATTTCTAGCATTAACTAATTTATTATACACATTTAGTTGAATTTAGGTGAGTAACTGCAATATTTGATAATTTATTTTGCTAATATGTTTCTCATTTAGCTAATGTTTTGATTTTTTCACCATGTACAATCTAAATAGCTAATATACTTTTTTAAAAGCCAATAAGAACATTGATAGAATTCTTCTACATAAGTACAATACTATGTCTTTGATGATAAAATTCTATATCTTTGATGATAATATGCTATGTCTTTGTGCTAGAACATTGTGTTCATTGGCGAGCGAGCGCAGCGAGCCATGGTTCACAGCGTGAACCACATAGGATTGCGTAGCAATTCTCGGGGGTTGGCAAGCGTTAGCGAGCAGGGGCGGAGTCTCCTAGTATACAATAATATGTAATACTGTTCTAGTAATCCGCATAAGCTTGTTCATGTTTCTGCCTAAAATTGTAATTTACATTTTATTTTACTGCCACTGGGGAATATCATCCTTGAAAGGATTAAAAGTTGGCAGGTATGGATATCCTTTGAAAAAAAATTTTTAATTACTCTAAAAAGTTATTTAAAATATATCTTTAACTCATTAAAACTATATAATCTATATTTAACACATTAAAAATATATATCTTTCACACACTTAAATTACATACATGATTATTTAACTAATGTAAAAAATAAATCCTTAGCATTGTTTTGTGATTTTAAACTTATTTTATATTAATTATCAGAAATGCATTTAAAACAAAATAAAACTAATTTAATAAACCTTTTTATGTGTAGATTTTTATTCTTCACTAACAAGCAGATTTAAAAATAAATATTATTTTCATGTTGAAGGCAGCTGTTGCATATATCTGAGTAGGATATATACATAAAGAAAACATAACATAAAGTCTAATTAAATAAAGAATGTTAAATTTTTAATTATTTATTAACTTGTGTGGTTTTATGTATTTCATTCTTAAAAATTGTAGTTAAAAATAATTCCTTTTGTATTTTATAAGTCTATTTGAAGTTGTTCCATATAATTAATAAATTATTCTCAATTTATTTCGCCTGAATATTTTTTTCTTGCTTTTTTTTCCTTTAATTTCTTCAAACATAGTTATCTCTTATAAAGTATTTAATTGATTAAATAAAAGCACCAGTTGCTTATTATTTGATGAAGAAATTATTTGAAATAAAAATAGTTAATCAGATAGCACATTTTTTTATTGTCCTTTGTTTTGATTATTTTTATCTCTTTTATTCCTAAATATATTAATTTAATTTTTAAGAATAAAGTATTCTTTTCCCTACAAAAATAAAGTAAATATTTATCATTTGGATTGGACCTGTAAATTATTTTACAGTTCATTAAAGCTTCTTTGTCTCTAAAGAATTGTTCAATACATTTATATGTTCTAAAAAGTATCCTTTTTTCTCTCCATTAAATGAAATAAAGATTTCTAGGTTTAAATTTTAAGTCACTCAACTACACCTTCTATTTTTTTTCCTAAAAAAGAAATTAATCTATTTTTTTAGACAATTTATGCTTTTGAAAGTGAACAAAAATATACAAATGATTTACCTTTTAAAAAAATTATTAATAACATCAACAACAAAAACATCTTTAAACCGAGTGATTTTTAATGATAATAATCATCTTGGAGGTTGACAATATTAGAGGTGGCAATATGTTTTAAAAATGATTTGATCCTTGATTAAGGTAAAAAAAGCATTTTGACCCTTCTTTAGTAAAACAAACACAGGAGTACATAATGTTCAAGTTTTATTTATTAAATGGTTTGTATTCTAGATAAAAACCTTCAATGTACAGTTTGCATGGAAGATTTCAAATTAGATGAACCAGTTAGAAGGTTATCCTGTGATCATCATTTCCACAATGAATGTATAATTCCTTGGTTAGAATTGGTAAGTGTACTTACAGTAATGAAAAGCTGTGTATGTTTATTTTTGTCAATCGGTGCACTTTTTATGTTTGTTTGTTATTGAACCAACATTATTTGTTTCTTGGGTACTGATAATCTGAAAAGTTTTTTAAAATTGATTAATTTGATTTTAATTTTATCAAAATCAAATACGACAATTGTTAATTCTGGCAGCACAGCTTATCTTTTTTAAAGTATCATTCAGTAAAATTGTATTTTGAGTATTCTTTATGTAAAAGTAAAAAAATATTAATTTTCATTCTTTAAGAAGAAAAAAACATTGATCTGTAGCGTAATTAAAAAAAGTAATTAAAAATTACTGAGTAATTAAAAAATTTCTGAAATTTAAAAAAAAAAAAATAATAATGTGAACAACTTTTTATGAGATCCTCATTATACTCGAAATAAAAATTCAAATCTCTGATGCACTTTAGATCTTTCCTTTTTAATTTACTTTTTCTATTTTGTTCATTTCATATTTGCATCAGGTTTGGTTTTTAACGTAATAATTGTAAAGTTGTGTAGCAATGATTTTAATTTATGTTGATGACTCAGCCATGATGACTCAGCAGTTAAGGCACTGAGCTGTTAATGTTGAAGACTAAACATATTTAAAATCTAATATTAATTAGTTATGGCATATGTACATATTCAAAATATTTCTTAGACTTAGAGGTTGGGGAGCTCCAAAGAGCAGGGCACATCAACCAGAGGTCTATTGTACCCAAACCCTATATCATGATTAGCAAGAAAGCCCTGTAGCTGAAATGAAATTCAACAAACACCTTACAGGAACATCCTGCAATTCCCAGGTTTTAATGCAATACTGCCCCAAATGCTCAAATCTTAGAGCAGAATAGACCTCACAATCACAAAGTATATGTCGTGATGTCTCTTCTTCAAGATGAGAACTTCGACAAAGAGAATTTAAAATATTTCTTAGAAAAGTTTTTTTTTTTGTCAAAAATCTAATAAAACTGTAGCTTTTGATAAAAAGCCAAAATGAATTCATCTTTTTGTTTAAAAAAAATCCTTTTTTTCTTCTAATTTAGAACACTAGTACTAGTTCTTTGGCCCTAGTTCTAGGACTAGTACTAATGGCATGTTAAAAGTGATATTTTTTTATTTACATTTATTTTTTGTTAACTTGTTTTTATTAGAGATTAATGTTTTATGTAAAATTAACTGTTGTTCAAATTTACAGCATGGTACATGTCCTATTTGTCGAAAACTGCTTAATGATGGCTCCAGTCAAGATAATGCCTTTCAGTCTACAAGTCAAACCTCGCAAAATGGTCCTGATGTGATATCTCTGCCCGGACCTAGTGCGTCACAGCAAGCCAGTAGTAATTCACTTTCAGACTCGGATATTTCAAGAAGAAGTTTCAACTTTAATCCTCTAGATTCTTCAATTTATGATTTTAATGAAGAATTTGATTAGCTGTAACATAAGACTTATAAATTTCTTTTCCTTGTACATATGAGGTAGATAATTTCACTATAGACAGTTGAAGATTGCATTGCCTTTATTTTACTTTTAAAAAGAGACTTATCTTTTCTCCTCCTGTATCTACAGAACTGCAAAAAAAAAAATTTTGAACCCCAGAAAAAAATTCCGACTCATAAGTGGAAACCAAGCTAAGGTCAGTGTAAATCTATGCATTCGCTCAATCATGTGGTCAATCCTGCTCTGTTGTTGAGGACGTTTTTTATTTAAATTTGTTCTGAAGTGTTTAAGTGTAGAAGTAAACAAGTTATTTTGCCAAAACTGAATTTTTTTTCTGTGTTTCTTTGTATTTTTAATAATGAATTGATTTCCTTTTTAATCTTTGCATGCTTCAAAGATAAGTTGAAGCAATAGCATGTTACAAATTATAAAACAAATCATGCAATATTTGTGATGAGCTAATTTATTTGAATGATGTATCAAATGATTGAATCAATGTAAAAAAAGAATAAAAGACGCTACTTATTTTTCTCCACTCTTTAATCTTAGTTATGAATTGCAGCAGCTATCCATTGCTTCGTTGCCTTGCAGAGTACTAAATTGTCTCTTAATTTTTGTTACATTTTTTTAAAAAAAATAATTAATACCGTATATCCCGGTATATAAGTTGACCCCTTATTTTTTATTGCAAGATATCAAATTTCTGATTTGTCTGGTGTATAAGTCCATCACTGAAAGAAGAAAAAACAATTATTTTGTCTACAAAGTTATCTCAAGTTAAAAATATTTCACATCAAAAATTCTCAAAATCAGGAAATTTCCTAGCTGTTTTTATAGACTTCATGTGTCACTAGACATATAGAAAAATTTGGATTAAAATGCTATTGTAAAATCTTCTAAAAAGTGTTTTAAAGTTCGAATTGCTTGGATGGAGGTGAAGATTTTTTGTAGGATTCATTGTAGTGTAGGATCAGTGAATCCAACGCAGATGTTCTGGAATTTTTAAATTAGTACCTTTATGATATATTTTACAAGTTTTCATTGATATACTTTTTGAAACACTCTTGAATAAATTATCTTAACTTCTTATTAATTTTTCTGACCTTAACTTAAAGCTTTATTTCTAAAAAAAACTTTTTTTGTGTAAAGAGCAGTAATACAAAATTAATTCCATATAATATAGTTAATGGTTTTTAGAAAGGGTAAATTAATACATAGTTATTCATATTTATCTCATTTTTTCCAATGCATCGACATTTTATGATTGACGAAAAGCGACTTTATTACCGGTGTATAAGTCAAACCCTTGATTTCTGTACAGTTTTAGGTAAACTAAAAATAGACAGATGCACCAGGATATACTGTCAGTACTTGTGTTCAGATAACATCAATTTTAGCAGAATTTTTTACGTGTACTCAATAGTACTTATTGTAGCAGTACAAGACTTAGAGGTTGGGCAGCTACGAGGAGCAAGGCTCATCGACCAGAGATCTTTTGTACCCAAATCCTAGATCATGACTATCAAAAAAGCCCTATAGGTAAAACAATGTTTAGCAAACATCTGACCGGCCTTAACGCAATGTTGCCCGGATACTCAAATCTTTGAGCTGAAAAGACTTCACATTCAAAAAGAATTATGTCCTCAAGATGACAACCAAGACAAAGAGGATCACTTACAAAACCCATCATGTAGAGGTGTCTCTTGCAGGTAGAATAACCTATGAGATGATTAATATTCTTCCTCAAGCCATTCCTGTTAAGCTTGAGAAGTTCTTTTTGATGCACACTATGACAGTCATGATTTAATTCTTATGCTTGTCTCTGAATGTCCGAGTTGTGCATTGGGCGTCGGCAATCTTGCTGTTGAGCTTAAATATTTAAAAGCCCTAAAGGATGTGGGGAAGAATCCCAAAGCTGGTTTGGAGCCAAAAAAATGGCATAGGAGCTGATTCATCAACCAGCTAGCTCATTACCAGGAATACCCAGGCATTCAGCTTAGGTATACCATGTTATTTGAAGAAAGATCACAAAGGGCTGAAAAGCACTCTCCAATTAAAACTAGGCGAATTTACACCTTGTTAGTGACAAATGAGCAGCCAGACTGTTGGAACAGATGTGAATAATTATATTTAGATACCCCTGTCTAGGCACACCTTGCAGCAAAACATATTACTTTAGACTTCAGCCTGAAAAACAGTTACCATTATTGGAACAGTAAATACCTGCCCCTGATTTACAACCAAAGCTTCATCCATCAGTGTACCATACCAGACAATTGTCTCATAGCCACGGAAGAGATTTGAGCCATGCATCTCTGAGAGGAAAATGGATCTTGAAAGGTTTATGAAAAGCATATCTTTGTGACGTATAATCGCTAGGCATGATAAAAAAAAGAAAGATCAGTCACCTGGTATGCGAGTTGACCCCATGACAAGTGCCTAGAATATTCGTTTCATAATCCAAGGTGCATAAAGCATTTTATGCATGTCAGAGCTTCAATGCGCTAAGAAGCTCATGTAAGCTCGCAAGTGCAGTCGTAAAAATGGTTCAAGAACAGCCTGACAAAGTTAAGCAGACTATTCTTTGCAGTCAGAAGAGATGATTGTGCTCCGGAAAAAATCTGGATTTTTCGCTGACCGCAATTTGGAAATCCAAGAACCGAAAGTTTTAAAAAATTTATTTATCACATTTGTGTATGAAAATTCTTGTATATTTTATTTAAAAATATTTGAACTAGAATTTATACTTGGCATTTCATTTGTAAATATTTTTTCTGGTAGAATAAACAATGTGATTAGAGATAAACGTTTCATTTAACCACTGTTCACATACTTTAAGAGGGACAGCTTTAGCTTCTCCATGAAGAGTGTGAAAGATATTGTGTGTGTGTTGCAAAGGAAGGGGCAAGATATCAGCTCCTAGTTTTTTTTTTCCTGCTTTAAAAGATGCAAAGAAATTCGAGTAATCGAGAATAATTAACATGAAATTGAAGATAAAAGGGTCGGGACCTCATAAAAAAATCGAGTTATAGTAATATTCGAGTTATCGTACTTCGAGTTATAGCGAATTGACTGTACTTGTTTCAAAACATCTTTTAACTACTCCAGAAAGGTTAAGTTGCTGTTCCATTCATTTATTTTATTAACTTACTAATATTATATTTTATTAACCTTGTAAATATAATATTTTATGAACTAAATTAAAAATAATTTGTCATATTATTACTAAATTACTTGTTATTACTATGTTAAAAACAATATCCGCGCACCTGGAAAGTCATGAATTTCGATATTGAACAAATTTTGTCATGAAATGTCATGATTTTAACTATTTTTTTAAAAGAAGTCATGGTTTTAGGTCACCGAAAAATATAATTATTAAAATGGAATCTACCCCCTCCCCCCATTTCAAGGTGTTCGGAATATCTGAATTTGTAATAAAATCCCCACTCACAGTCTGTCATATTTGATTAAAATGTTTTTATCGTGTTCTTTAAAAATTATGGTGTTCTTTCAAAAAATGAATTTCTAGAGTGAATTATCTTTTAAACTTCTGAGAATTCAGAATTTTTGTTGTTATTTATTTTTTTTCTTTTATCAATTTAAAATTCTAGCTGAAGCAAGCCAGTCATTGGCAAATTTTTTTAATTCCGAAATGAGAACAGGAAAATCGGGAGCATTTCTTTCCTTTCCGATGAACAAGAAAAGTATCTTCAGAATATAATTCTGCTGGGAAAAGGAAAGAAAAAAAAATTATTTGCTTTCTTATTTTTTTCAGCTATTTTATTTCTTCAACTCTTCCTTTACTCTGTTTTTTAAATTTAATATCTGTAAATATGAAGAGGCAGAGTATAACAGTTTTGGTTTTACGTATCATTTAAATTAATGTTAATATAGTGCTATTGATGTTTTTGTCGAAGAAAATAGTAACTTTATTAAGTCATGAATTTAAAAATCCAAAATGTAGCAGATACCCTGTAAAGATAAACTTACTGAATTCCTCAACAAAAAAAAAAAAACCTTTTATGAAAATAGCCACATTTATTTCACAAATGGCAAATACAAGCACAAACTTCAAAATAAATTACAAAGCATGTAACTTGGGAGTAAGTTTACAATGAAAACATGTAAATAAGAACCACTCTAAAAGAATGAATTAAGCAAAAGTCACCTATTTAGTTTCACTACCTTTTTAAGGGCGGATCGAGGTTTATTCCTTCAATAGGGAAATAGTGTAGTGGCATTTTTATTGTATAATATGCTGTATTAATATTCAAGTCAAATTCCCCTTATTCGTAGATCCATTCCTTTTCTGTATCATTTACTCATTTGAGTTTTTATAGATATACACAGAAACAATTTACATGGATTATTGTTGACTTGTATTGAACATATATATACTTACAGCAATACACGAAAACTTATTTTAAAATCATAGCAACAAACTCAATGTTTGTAACATCTAAAAATGTCTTTTCACCTTATCCTGGGGGGGGGGATAAATTTCCCCTCTCATTTTAATGAAAAAATTTTATATAATGCAAAACTTCAATCAGCAAAAGTTTACATTTTACAGTCTTTTATTCAAACAGCTACCGGTGTAAAATTAATCTAAATTTTTTAAAAGATTAAACTTTAAACTGATAAAATTAAATTTTCCTTCTTCAAATTATATTTCAATTACAAAATGTGTTTTAAAACTTAACAGTAATTCAAAAAGACAATAATATATTTGTCATTTTCAATATTGGTTATCATCACATTTTTTTTTTAACTCTTAATATTAACAATATTTATTATGTATTTCACATTGTAGATTACTACATTACAACATCCATTATAAACATTTTTGAAACAGTTCACAACACATGCATATGTTTTACCATTTATAACAGGATTTTATATTTATTTTTATAACAGTACTTTTTTGTCTTATGAAACACGTGAATACAATACATACTTTTAACAATTAAACAGTAAATACATCTATTATTGATGATTGATTTTAGATTAGCACCACAAATGCACCAACAAAAATTATTGAATAAAAATAATATAATAAAAGGCTGCTCCTATTATTTTTCAACCAGAAAAAAAATGTATGTAAACACAGATTTTTCAAAACAATATTTTTGAACCTCTTATACAAATATCACACTTATCAAAAGGTGGGAACAGAAAAGCTAACTAGAATTAATTTGGAATTTGAATGATACTTACATTGAATGCACTATATAATCAATGCATGTACTAAATCTCTATTATTATTTTTTTTTTAATTAACACAATAGTAACTTTTTTGCATTGAATTAATTTCGCATATTTTCTTAAACAATAAATTTATTGATGTTCCGATAGTTATTCGATTGGGCTCATTCACCATTTCATTTGTCAGAATTTGGCATTTTAATGCAAAAATACTTTATAATATTTCCAAAATTGTTTTAAGAATGGGAAAATAAGTTAACCAATTTTCTTTCTAAATAATAGCACTGTTTAATTTGTTACTTTTGGCATACATCAAA